AAATTGAAATATCTCACAAACTGTAAGTCCTAGGTATGCAGAACCTTTAATAAAGTTCACCTATTTTTTTACGGTGCTTTCAAAAATGCAGTAAAATACAGGGTGTTCCATTTAAAAAAACATAACTTTGATATGGTACGCTTTTCCTGGACACCCTGTATATCTCAAAATATTTTTAAAATGTAGCCATAATCAACCTACACATACCCACCTAAACAGGTTTCTATAACATTTGCCGTTTGGTCACTAGCGACCGAGGCGTTACTGGTGGCCCACCCTGTATACATAAATATTTATGCTAAGAATGTATTGATTAGTTTTTGTACAAACTTTTATCTCTACTTAAGCCACCACACTCGACATCTACAAGCAGAAGTGAGCAATTGTAAGATATAGCCTGAAGTGCGAGAAATAAAATGTCTAAATATTACCTTGCATTTAATAGTAATTTTTACCTAATCCATACCAGACATAACAGTAATAGTTTAAATTATTTTGTTAAACAACTAATCTAAATTGGAGTAAAACATTCTTTAAAATGTTATATTTCGGATTAAGTTTTAATGTTAGAAACCATAAAAATTAATAATGGTTTTTACTTACCATCTGTATAAACAGGCCCGTGAAGGTTAAAAGTAGTGAAATCTACAAATCGAATAATACTATCATCTTGCCATATCTCTAAGTAATGTTTATTATCATTTTTCCTGATAACTGCCCTGAATTTTTCTGATGAAGACGTTTTTGACAAGGCCCTGGAATAATAAACGAATATTATTTGAATTAACTCGTAACAAAATTTAGTATTGTTAGTTACACATAACCATTTTTTTCTGCGCCTCTTGGAAGCTTGATACATTGTAAAAAATATTATAACATTATGTAAATTGTTTTAAATTACTTACTCGGTGCTGATATCGAGTGGAAGACTCTCGGCAACTTTTTTAAGATTCGAAACGAATATGTCTTTAACAAATTTAAAAGTTTTTCCTCTCGCTATACTTCTTTGAGACCAGGTACTTCTTACAATACCGTTAGCTCTAAGATAAGCACCTATCACAGTAGGAATTTGAGCAAGGCGTTCATAGTTTTCTCGTATTTCATCCTCCTGCAAAGAAAATGTAAGGTTATTACAATATTCTTTTAAAGTATAAACTATAAACTACATATTCTTCTGTTGCATTCATTCTAAAAGTATTTCAAACTATTCACAGGTCCACAGCGAACTCAAAAATAATTCTATATTAATATAACAGTAAAAAATAACAAGGAGAACAATGATCTACACAAATTTCTCTTATTTACAGTGTACTATCTGCATGTATGTGTAAGTAAAAAATTACGAAAATCATAAAAAGTATAGGTACTTAATTTTTTCTACTTCTAGAGAATTCCTAGTGAACACAGATTATAAACATTATAGATAGCGATAGGCGACTCACATCTACCGCCTGAATTTTATATACTAGCGCCGCACGCGACGGGCTTGTTAAATATTTAGGTTAGGGAAGGTGAGAAGGTTAAATTAAAGGAATTTTTATATTTCCTTCGAACTGTTTGGTACAAATTCCCCAATGACAGTTGATTTAATTTTCAATAATAGAAAATGGAATATTTTTTTTCAATCAAAGAACATATAATGAAATCAATTTATAGCAAAATTATAAAAAATTGGAAAAATGTAAGTATGTATACAATTAATATCTAGGTACTAACCCATAACAAATATGAATAATTGTCAATCAATTTATTTACAAAAATATAATTTCAAAACATCCAAAATTATTTTCATATACAGGGTGTTCCACCTAAGACGGATTCTTCTGTAACTCTGTAATAGACTTTTTTAGTAGTGACGTCACATATGCCAAATAATAGGCAGCCCACAGTGCACATTGTCATGAAGAATTTCTTAATATTTTTACTAGATCGATTTTCGACCTTATGTACTTTTTTATTTTCTTTGTCACAACCTTAAATATTGCGATATTCTGGCAATATTAGAAATATTTAAGAAGTTTCAAACCCCAAGTGACAAACTAATAGAATTATAGAATTTATATATTTAAATTTATAGAACAATTTTGACTTTTATACTAATTAATAAATTAAAATTATATCAACGTTACTGAGCATGTGCATTAAAGATAATTTCATGTAAGCGAAGTAGCCTCGCAACAGAGGATATCATTCAAGAAGTTTATTGATTGTGGTTAAGAGTACGTGTATAACCACTTGAAGAAAAAACACCGGATAAACACACTGACACAGTACAACACCAAGAAAAACAATAAAAGTACTTAGTACAACTAGAAAATGCCAAGATTAAACAAAACAAGAGAAAATACGCTAATGAGATGACAGCGATAACATATCAACAAGATTTCACCTGTGTATGAAGCTATTCTTTCCCAGCATGAGCATTAGGAATAACACGGCTAATGTTAAATTTCTACTTTATTTAAATTTAGGAATACTCTTTTATATCGTTTTTTGTAAGTTTTAAGCACATTAGTGTATCATTTTAACAAATACATGTTGGTTGTTCTTAAATACTTCCAAATCCTTGTAAAAAATAAATTAATTTGAAGTTGATAATTTTTATAGTATCTATGTAAATAGTACACAAGGGTCAGATCATAGAAAATAGAGAGTACTATATTTTCTATGGGTCAGATTCAGTCTGTACAATTTTCACTATGACAACTTGTTGCGGGTTGCTTAAGTACGTGACGTCACACTAAGAGCCTATTGTAAAATTTAAAAAAAAATTGTTTTTATAAAAGTTGTTTGGAAGCATGTAGGTCATGTAAAAAAATATTTTTAGCTTTTCAAGGTGTTCCACTTCGCGTAGGCGTTACATAACTTTGTTATTTTAATGTTTATTATCGAGTTTTTGAATTATTTGGATAATATTAGGTAGAGTTTATTAAATGTACATGGTGTTTAAATGTTTAAAACTTACCGTTTTCGACACAACCAGCTGTTTTTGAAAAAAAAATCACGATTTCAGCTCTCTAAATGAGGCTAGATACTAAACCGTAAGAGTTAGAAACCTGCAGTTTTCACAGTTCGTTTTGGCATAAATCTTGTCATCTGTAAGCAAAACGTATACGTTATTCAGACTCGGAAATACTGAGACCTACATTTAATAATCTTACGAGTTGAAAAACTTTTTTTTTTTCAAATGGAATGCCATATTAATTGTGATGGGTGAATGCAAAATTGAACGCCCTTTCGACTGATATAAACTGTCCATACTTATCTCTAACAGTTTTCCAGAAAAATCAGGTTCTTTTCTAAAGTCCGAAAATGTAGCTATGTAACAGCGTCAAGAAGGCCTTGAAATTGTATTAGCACAACGTTGATACATAGGATTTTACAAAATCACAGCACTACACATTCTTATCGCATCCAATTACACCAAGAGTTACTGAAGGTAAACTTTCAATGGAGACTGGAGTTTTGTCAATAGGCACTTGAGATGTTAAATCAAAACGACAATTTTTTTAAATATCATGTTCTCCGATGAAGTTACTTCTCATAAAATGGTTTCGTTAATAGTCATAATTGCCATTATTATGACATAGTAAATCCTCACCAATTCCGGACAATGATGGTCTTTAAACGTGTGGGGAGCTATTTTAAGAACCCATGTCATTGGACCATTCTTTTTTGACCAGCATATAACTGGAGCAGTTTATTTAAACTTTTTAATAAACACTCTAGAAGATATATGTTAGGCGACATTCCTTTAGCTACACTTCGAAGAATGTGGATGCAACATGATGGTGCTTCACCTCACGACACCGCTGCAGTTCGTCAGTTTTTACACGAAACTTTTCCCAACAGATTGATTGGGCGCAGGGGACCAGTGAGTTGGTCTTCAATGTGTCCAGATATGACAAGTTGAGACTTCTTTTTATGGGGATTTATAAAAAGCAAAATTTATGTTACACGACAAACTACCACGGAAGATATGCGGCAGTGTATTACAGTAGCATTTCGAGAAATTATGCTAGACATGGTGATCAATGTTGAACAGTCTTTTAAAAACCGAATTCGTTTGTGCATTAATCAAAATGGAGGACACTTCGAGCAATTGAAGTAAATCAGCTGTCTAAGTATTCTTCTAGTTGTTGTGTTCCAAGTTTCAGTTTCTTTCATTTTGCGTTTTGCTTTAATTGTTGTTAGTGGTTCACTTTTGTTTGTCAAACCACTTTTTAAACATGCCAGTAAATATTGACACTGTCAGTCCCAGGCCTGACAAAATGTGAGAGAAAAGTGGTTTTGCAAGGCCTTCTTGATGCTACTTTTTCGGACTTTAGAAAAAAACCTAATTTTTCTGGAAAACTGATAAAGATAAGGATGGACAACCTTATACCAGTCGACAGGGCATTCAGTTTTGCATTTACCCATGACAATTAATATGGGTTATTTCATTTGGAAAAAAAGATTTTCAACTCGTAAGATTATTAAATGTAGGTCTCAATATTTACGAGTCCGAATAAGGTATACATTTTCCTTATGGATGACAAGATAGAGTAATTTATGCCAAAACGAACTGTGAAAACTGCAGGTTTCTAACTCTTACGGTTTAGATGCTATCATCATTTAGAGAGCTGAAATCGTGATTTTTTTTTTGAAATATTGTACTTACGGTATTATTGGAACTGCCATCGATTCACAATTTTCGATCGAAATCTCTCTTTGTTATGTAAAGTAAGGTGTCAAATTTGTTTTCACGCATTTCAGATATTCAGGAAAATTTATTTGGCTTAAAAAACTAACAGGTACATAAACATGGTATTTTATTACAAATTACTACAACTATGTAAGCTGTTTTTTTACAGACACATGGAAACTGAATATTATGGTTTACTAACATTTCTAGAATATTTTTAAACATATTTTTGATGAATTAGTGAAAAAATTTGCAAAGAATTATTATCTCATGGAATTATATGAATACTTAAAACTATTTATATGAACGTCCCGTTAATGTTGTTTGACATCTCTAAAAACTATTTACCATACAAATAACACTAAATTAACTTCAATAATGTTAATCTTAATCCAATGTTATTGAAGTGGTTCTAAAAGTCACTAATACTTCTTGCAATTCTAGTTACATAATATACACGATGGTCTTTAAGCAGTTCCAATCATAAAGGAGATAATTTTTTAGATAATCTTATAAAAATTCTAGGACCTTTTCCATTCAGTATATTTCTACATTTAAAGTCACCAGCTCAAGTTTGATTGATTTATGTTAAACGTCAAATAAGATATTGTCAAATGTGGATTTTCGTAATTATTAATTAGAATTTTTAAAATTAAATGTGAAAAGGGGATCAATCCAGTTTTTATAAAAAATTATTTTATATTTCATATTCATTTATACACACACTTTTTCTAGAACACAATATACATAAAAGTCTTAGTTGGCCAAATTGTTGCGTGATTGCAAGGTTCAAAGAAAGGGTGACATCCTTTTACACACGGCACTGTGCTGAGTGGTTGATAACTAACTCGGGAAACATTGCAAGGTCAGCAAAAGCGGGGTAGCTGGTTGGTTGCTCGAGACAGAAGGAGAGCTCGAGGATTTCCCTTCTGGTCGTCGGAAAGTGAGCTCACAATGGTTGGAGTTTGGTAAGATCTTCTTCGTAATTTATTAAGTCGCCCTCCAGACGTAATCGTATCCAAACACTTTTTTCCTTAGAAGCGTTAAAAATGATAACCATTTGTGTGAGCATTCGGCGAAATTGTGTTTTGGATCTTATTAATATATTGGTTTTATATCCTTCTAACGAGATAAGCCCGAGATATCAATATGTTTAATGAAGAACCTATCATCAGTATTATAGTTTTTCAAGAAATCTTTTAACGTTTACTGCATTACTGTCATCAGCTTCGCCTCTGGAGAATGAGTTTAATTGTTATCTAACTTTTAAAAGAATTCTGAAGACTCGTAAGATGGGTTAACGTTTCTGGCCCCATAATTGCGAATGTATCCAAAAAAAAAACTCTCCTGGTTTAAATTGTGAAGACAAAAAACGATGTCTTTTAAAGTTTTCCATGTATAACTTTTTAAATATTCTTTAGAAATATACAACAAAACAACGGTTTATATAATAGAGATAAAATGTTTCAGTTATATTAAAAATAACTTAATAGAAAATGTAATATAGATGTTATGGATTTAAATGTAACAAAGGTAACATTGGTGAGGCGGACTCTGTTATATAGTACAATGTGCGTTTCAAAGTAAATAGGGCTTTTTAAAAATAAGGATTTTTGCAAAACCGATTTATTTTATTCAAAATAGTCCCCTTCCAACTCAATACAGCGATATGCATGGTTTAAAAGCATGTCGAATTAGTGTTTTAGATCTTGGGTCGGAATGTACTTCAGGATTTCGGTACAAGCCTTTTGGATGGCTTCTACGTCTACAAAATGTTGTCCTTTCATTGGCAAATGCGTTTTTCCGAAAAGATAAAAGTCAAACCATCAACATAAATTTGGTTCATCAATGAAACGTTTTGGTAAAAGTTTTACCATGTTCAAAACAAAACTTAATATTAGCTCTTTATCCGATGCTTATTTTTGTACCGATGACAAAAAGCATCTCTACAGACGCAATAATAACGCTTCTATTTGTCATGAAATTTTGAAAGTACATCAGTGAACGATCTACCTTTCCGACACATGTAACTTCCAATAGACGACCTCAATAGAAGCACCCATTTTTGAAAAGTCCTGTTTATGTTGTAACACACTTTGTATGCAAGTAGAATATAAATTTTATTAGAAAGTATTGTTACACTTTGCGGTCTCGTTAATAATGATGAGATGTTTTCATGCTTAGCGGGAATAATTTAAAATTATTTTGAAAATGCTTGTTTTACATTTCTCTCTCTGATGAAATATGATTTACAATATTTTTCAAAATGGATGATTAAAATAATCCATTTTTCCCTTCTTAAAACAGAAATAAATTAATATAACAAGTCAAGTAACAAACCTGAACTAATTTGTTGGTTGATAACTTAAATTGCTTATAATTGCTTGCAGACTATACTACTTTGTGTATTAACTGATGCCTAACTGGACGTTTCAAGATGTGGTTTCAAAAACACATTTGTTATATTTGAATACTTCATCATCTGATTTATGTATCGGCAGATACACAGGACGTTTATTGTCAGTGCAATGTTGCTACTTTTATGCTGTGGGAATGTTATGTATTAATTGATGTTTTTTCATATTGTGCTTATACTTGGTTTCAAATTTACATATATCACATTTGTACATTTGTATTTCCGAAGGGTCTTTGTGGGTTAATTGATGATTTTTTAGACATTTCATAGATGTGGTTTCATATGTACAAGCATCACATTTGTACACTTGAATTTCTGAGGAATATTCGTGTGTCAGCTGATGTGATTTAAGATGCCTCTCGTATTTAGTTTCAAAACTACATGTATCACATTTGTACATTTGAATTTCTGAAGGATTGTGCAATAACTTATGCCTTTTTAGATGGTTCTTATATTTAGTTCCATAATCACACATATCACACTTGTACATTTGGATTTCTGACGGGTGTTTGTGCATTAACTGATGTGTTTTTAGATTATTCTTATATTCAGTTTCATAACTACACCTATCGCACTTGTACGTTTGAATGTCTGAAGGGGTCTTGTGCAACAACTGATGCCTTTTTAGATGATTCTTATATTTAGTTTCATAATCACACACATCACATTTATACATTTGGATTTCGGACGAGTCTTTATGCAATAATTGATGGTCTTTTAGACGGCTCTTATATTTAGTTTCATAAAAACAAGTATCACATTTGTACAGTTGAATTTCTGAGGAATTCTTATGTCTTAATTGATGCTTTTTGATATTCTGTTTATATTTAGTTTCATATTTACACTTATCACACTTCCACATTTGTATTTCGGAAGGGTCTTTGTGTGATAACTGATGCCGTTTTAGATCTGTCTTGTATTTAGTTTCATAACCACAAGCATCACACTTGTACATTTGGATTTCTAAAGGGTTTTTGTGCCTCAACTGATGTACGTTTAGACGTCCCTTAACTGTACTTTCATAATCACACATTTTGCATCTGTACATTCGGTCTTCGTTTATTAACTGGCACATGAAACTTTTCTTATAATATATGAATTCCTGACCAGCTTTTACACTACTGTTGAACTCAGTTTTGTATTCGCTATTATATGATGGTATGTCTAAAGCAGTTTTACGTTTGTTTATTTGAATTTCTGCTGTCTCAGACATATGTATATACTCATTCTTTATTTGTCCCACATCTTCCTCTTTGCGCCTCACTTTAGTTGCAATTATTCCATTGCCACTGGAAAAAAAAATAAATTATTGACAATGGAACAAATATTATAAATTCAAAGGCTTTATTTATATTATCAGTAATTATTACTAATCACTAAAATAATTTTATAAAATCCATCCATGATCATTTTGGTGAAAGGTTTATTTATTTTAAAATGTTTCATTTAACATTTCAAAAAAATTAAACAGTTTTTTATCAAATATCTCCTGAAGGTTTTGAACATCGGGAACGAAGCAATTTTCATTACAAAAAAAAGAGGTTATCGACGTAATCATATGATATAACGAAATTCTCCTGATTAATTTGATTGTTTTCGATATACAGAAGATTTTTTTTAATTTAGTTCATTTCTGTTGGTCTTTATATCTATGTTGCCGAGATAAAAAAATGCTCCAACATTTCTTAAACCATTTTTTCAATAGAATAAAGTGGCAATCATAGTTTATCCTTAACGTCATATTTTCAACAAAATGCTAATGAAGTTTGTTATTTCTAATGCAACAATGTATTTTTACGTCATCGATTTTGACATGTTTTCTGTACCTTTTCACATATATGTATAATATAGTCAAAAAATAATTGTATGTATTTAAATTTTCATAATAAATGTCAAAATTTGCCGCTTTTATAAAATTATCAAATTTACTTCGAGACAATCCAAAACTTCTTCCAATTTTCCCACTAAAGCCATGTTCATTGTGGACATTCAAGCACTTGTAGGTTTTGAACATTTTGTATGTGTATTAGGCAGCTTTTAATATTATAAATATACTATTAAAAATAATAGGCGTAGTAAACTTTCTCACCTTCTCCAGTCGTTTTCTTCACTTTTTATGTCAATTTCAACAGTTTCTATCTGCATTTCTTCTGTCTCTAGTTCGATTTTAACCAAACCTTCCATCCTCTCTTCATCTCCTAATTCTATTACATCATTTTCGCTTTTAATAAACATATCGTTATGCCCGAAATCTGTGATTTTGTTGTCACCCATGTCATCAATTTTAGTTTTAACTTCCAAACAGGTCTTTATGAAGGTATCGTGAATATTAAGTGAAACAAAACATTGCCTACAAATAATGGGATCCTTGGTAGCAGCAAAATTCTACAACACAAAAGTTTGTTATGATTTTGGTATAAATGTTTAAGCTTTAGAATGTGCATTTACCACTTCTGCAATGTATCTATGAATCATCTCCAAGTCTACTTCACGAAATGGCACAAATTCTTCGTTAACCAGCTGCAAACATAATCGACATATTTTCTGATCATTTTCCAATTTAACCAGTGGTTTATTCCCGTGTTCTTTTAGATAAACTTCTCTTAAGTCCACGATGGGCACCTTGGGATTAATATAAGAGGCAATCTTGTTCTCAACGTAGAGACAAGTGGATTTAAAGTCAAATGCCGAGTACAGCTTACTAGAACAGGTATTACACATGACGTGTTTATAGTTGTTGTCCAAGTCCTGAAATATTTTTAATTGAAATAAGACGATTTAACTTGCACTACTAATTTAATAATATATTCTAATATATGAAGTGATGCTTTCAATTCACTTTGATGATCTTTCTTAGCTTAGAATATTACAAATATATGTATTTTAAATGAACTTACCAGATTCTGTGAAACAGTCTTTAAAATTTCTTTTGTAGATTCGTCTATCACTGTAAATTTTTCAACGCACACAGTATTACCGCAAAATTTGCAAAATAATCTTTTAGAACCATCCATTTGTATATCTTTTCCTCTTTGATTATTCAAAACATAACAAGATTCTCATAACCTATATTTATTTTCATTTGCATGTCCGAGATTTCCTATCTATGTCTGTCATAGATAAGAGATTAAGGCTGTGTTCATCTGTGAACATGGAATGTTAACTGATATAGGCAGATATAGGATATAGGCCGAAACGAACTCAAATTTTAATATGTCAACGATAGATGGCAGTGTATAAAGATAAAAGATCTACCAATATAGGAAATAATTTTACTTGCAGACATTCAAAGGTAATGAGAGAATACAAAATATAAATTTAACGCCGTAATCGGATGTTACAACAAAGACAGAAAATCGAAAATATACTCACTCATATTCAATTATAAAACATAGTGAAGACATTAACATTAAAAATACTAAATTGTAATAACCCAACATTCGAAAACAATTATTATCGTCATACATTTGTTCTTATTAACAAATAAATAATACTTGTTAATATTTAAAATGTAATTTAAAATAGAAATACTCATTCATGTGTCTAGGTAAAAAGGTCTGTAAAAATGCAGTAAAAGCTAGGTTAGTGACCGACGTAACTGACGTCTGATAACAGGAGCGGTCCGAAACGGGGTTTAAATATTTGATTTTAAAAAATTTTTAATGGCGTACTCGTATTCTACTCCTTTTCTCCCTATCTTTCCTTAAAATTAATGACATTATGACTGAATCACCCTGTATAGCTGAAAGTAACACATTCAGGGTGCTCCTTAATGGTATAAGAATATTTAAGAGTATAAACTATGATCCATAAATGTTTCGTTGCAAAAATACGGGGTGTTAAAATTTTAGGAAAAGAAGGAAATTAATTAATATTTTCAAAACCGCAGATACTTACATCAAAATGTCAGAAATGCAAGTGACACATTCCAGGCCAATTAGGTTTATTGCAAAATTGTATTCAATAATTACATTAATTACAGACAATAAAACGGGTTTTATTTTTTTATTCAAAAACGACACTGTTGGAACTAAAAACTATGTATTAAAAAACATGCGTCTTTATTAACTATCACTACGTACTAAATATCACTGAAATATCTCAAGGGATTTCGAAAATATTAATTAATTTCATTCTTTTTCCTAAAATTTTAACATCCCGTGTTTTCGCAACGGAACCTAGTTTGCAAAGCAAACTATCATTAATTTTCCGTGCAGAATCACACCCTTAAATATTCGCATATCAGTAAGTAACACCCTGTATATTTATTTCATTGATTTCTGCTTTTTTTTTAATTTGCTACAAGCTAAAGGTTTTAAAAGATTTATTTATATTATTAACGAAGGTAAATAAATAGAACTTAATTAAATAAATAAAAAACAAACAAATTTGTCATGTTCCTGACAAAGTGAAATGTTAAAAATCACTGGATTTATACAGACATTAATAAAGATTTGAAATTTTTAACTTCTGCAAACTTTTCTGTATATGTATGCCGATAAATTATGAATTTACTTATTAAATATCATCATAAATTTTGTACTTGGAAACAGTAAAGACATTTTCCAGTGTATGTTATAATTCTGATTCAATCATATACTGGAAGTACATAATTGTTCTTTACATAATTACAAGATTTTCTTAATTTTAGAATTTTTTTGCAGTTATTTTAGTTTAAGTTGTAACAAGATGTAAAAAAAATTCTGATATCTTTTAACAAATGTTGAAATATCGATTTTAAATTTTGAGAAAAAAAAGGCAATATTTTATACGGGGCGCCAAATATGTATACTGTATAACTTATCAGAGATATACTTACCTAACAGTAGGCAAAAGTTCCTCAAAAATAATTTGCATTTTTCTGAAAATTATCACACCTTGCGGAAACTCATGTCTATCACCACTTCCAAGATATTTCCGTTTAAGTCATCAAGTCATCATCTATTTTGGCATGTTATAATTTTGACCAGAGTAACAGTATTCATAAAATCTTACCTTATGGATCGAGAACAATATGTTAACTATAATGGATGCCGAATTAAAAAATATTAAACATGAGGTGCTCAAGGATCCGTTTTAGGCCCTCTACTTTTCTTAATATACAAAAATGATTTACCTACTTGTGATGTCATTTTATTTGCTGATGTCACCACCACAGTTAACTGAAGCGACTTAACATTCAATCTTTTTTCCAAAACAGTTGCCAACAAAAGAAATTTTGAGAATTGGTTTAATACAAATGCTGTTAGAGCTTTGCTGTTAGCGTACCATGCATATTTTCACTCGAACATGTCTTATGCCATATTAAACTGGGTCCATTCAACCCATATGGCAAGAGTGTTTGCAATGCAGAGAAAGTGTATTCCAGTTAATACAAGTCTAAATTAGTTGAACTGAACATTTTAACACTTTGTGTAAGCATTTTATTATGTCTTTAAACACCAATAAATAATAATAATAATAATTTTAGATAAGTAGGTTAAGAACTACAACAAATTGAATAAAATAAAATCTGTCGGTTTATGTGAAGTAACCGTTGTAGTTTATGAATTAATTATGTATTAATAAACCTCACATTTTTTGTATTGCTGAACGTTTGTAACTAAATGAACACACATTTCCAAATCATTAGACAGGAGAAATGATATGGTTTGACCACTATGTTCCTCCACATGAATCCTCTTGATTTCTGTTCATTCATTTTTAACACGGGTATCATTTTGTATACATTTTATTCACTACAATAATATTGTCTAACTGAATATTTGGCTAAATATATTTAAAAAATAACTTATTGCGCAAGTAACTTGCATGGAAAATGCTACCGATATCCCAAACCATAAGTCCGTTTCATACAAGATATCACAGGAATACAATAATAACTTTTATACCTTAAAATGATTTTCAATGATCTCCATGAATAAAATCAATTATAAAATAAAAAATCATTGTTTTTTTTTGATAATTTTCAGCTTTATTTTTATGTTTATCTTATTTTATGTTACATTTATCTAGCCCTGACGTGGCACCCTCTGATTTTCATCTTTTCTCTTCCTTGAAGGTGTTTATGGGTGGAAAAAGGTTTTCTAATGACAATGAGGTCTATAGTGCCCTGAAACAATGGGCCTGAGGGACGGCAGGTTGATGAAAGTATCATACAGTTCATCCCTCGGCTCACAAAGTGCATTGAAGTTGAAAGATGACTACGTTGAAAAATAATGTTTGATATACCTTTCAGAATATGTAAATTTTTCATAAATATACTGCCGCTTTGATTTTAAAAAAATTGAGTACTTGGCACTTCATAAATAAAGACAAATTGCAATTGGAATTAAAAAAAAATCCATGATAATTAAACTTTCTTAACATTTCCAGGCCCCTTCAATTAACTTTCATAAGTTTTTCCCATAAAAAATTGTCGCTCTGTTGTAAAACATTTATCACACATGTACATTTGCTCCTTAGCGTACATTTCAATATTTTGATGTCTGAATAAGATGTAGGTAGTGAAAGTTGATAGCATTTATCACCAGTGCCATTGCATGTATCTCTTTCCTACTTTTATTCTGTGGAAATTTTCTTATGTATTAACTGATGCTTTTTGATGTTGTACTTATACTTAGTTTCATATCTACATATATCACACTTGTACATTTGAATCTCCGAAGGGTCTTTGTGGGTTAACTGATGATTTTTTAGACAATGCTTACGTTTAGTTTCGTAAGTACAAGCACCGCACCTGTACTTTTGAATTTCCGAGGCATATTTATGTATTAATTGATGTGATTTTAGATGTCTCTCATACTTTGTTTTGAAGCTACACATATCGCACTTGTACATTTGAATTTCTGAAGGGTTTTTGTGTGATAGCTGATGCCTTTTTAGATGATTCTTATATCTAGTTACATAATCACACACTTCACACTTGTACATTTGGATTTCAAACGGATCTTTGTGCAATAACTGATGATCTTTTAGACGACATTTATACCTGGTTTCGTAAATACAAGTCTCACACTTGTACAGTTCAATTTCTGGAGAATCTTTGTGTACCAATTGATGCTTTTTGATATTCTGTTTGTACTTAGTTTCGTATTTACACATGTCACATTTGTACATTTCGATTTCTGAAGGGTCTTTGTGCGATAACTGATGCCGTTTTAGATCTGCTTTATATTTAGTTTCGTAGGTGCAAGTGTCGCAAGTGTATATTTCAATATCCAAAGGGTCTTTGTGTGACAGTTGATGTACACTTAGACCACCCTTAAATTTAGTTTCAAAATTGCACGTTTTGCATCTGTATACTGGTTCTTCAAACCTGTCATTGTTTATTAACTGCCGGCAAGTTGGACTTTCCTTATCATGTATAAGTTCTGGAACAGCTTCCTGGTTTACACTACTGTCAAACTCGTCTTTGCGTTCGGATTTGCTTATTTGAACCTCTACTGTCTCGGACATATATTCCTTTTTTATTTCTCCTACATCTTTATAATTGTGCATTGTTTTGTTTTCGATTGTTTCATTATGTAAGTCGTATGAAGAAGGATCACTGAAAAAGTTAAGATTGTTTACAAACATGTCAAAAAAAGCAAGATAAAAAACATGATTTTCATTCTGCTGATAGAGCTTATTAGGACCTTTCAAAAATAGATATTTCTAGTGAAGCCAGAATATCGCTCAGAAGGAAGTTGGCGTTTGTTGCATGATAATATGCCATTTCATCGATCGAAATCTGTGACCGATTTTTTTTACTAAAAATTGCATTATAAATATCAACCTCTGCGCGTATTCGCCTGATTTGGCACCGTGCGACTTTTACCTTACCGCTGACTATACATGCCTTTAGACCATGCAAATCCCTGTATTGAGTTGGAAGGGGACTATTTTGAATAAGATTAATCGATTTTGTACAAAAAAACTTTTTGTTGTTATTTTTAAAAAGTCCTGGTTATTTTGGAAGGCACCTTGTATAACTATCCATCTATGTATTTGAATGTTTCTCAACTTTCTTACCTTTCCAAATCATTTACTTCACTTTTTATATCAACTTCTTTAATTTCGATCAGTGTTTCTTCCGTCCCTATCTCTTCTTCAGTTTTAATTGACCCTTCCATCGTCTGTTCGACTCCTAATCCTATTTCATCATATTCATTTCTAATAAATATATCACTACGCTTGAAATCTGTGATTTTGTCATCAAATATATCGTGAATTTGTGTTTCAACATCCAAGCAGGTCCTTATAAAAGTATTGTGAATGTTGAGTGAATCAAAACATTGCCTACAAACGACAGGATCTTCAGTGATGCCAAAATTCTACAACGTAAGAGTTTACATAGTACGAGTTTTTAAGATTTAAAATGAGAATGTATATTTACCACTTCTGAGATGCATCTATGGATCACCTCTAACATTATATCACAAAATGGCACAAATTCTTCGTTAGTTAACTGTAAACATAATCGACATATCTTCTGATCATCTTCTATTTTGACTGACGGCTTGTTCTCGTTTTTGTATAAATAAACTTCCCTTAAGTCAACAAAGGACATATTGGGTTTAACATAAGAAACAATCTTCTGCTCAACATACAAGCAAGTGGATTTGAAGTTAAATGCAGAGTACAGTTTAGCAGAACAGGTAGAACACATGACATGTTTATAGTTGTTAACCAAATCCTAAAATGTTTTGTTGAGAGCAAAATGAATAAACAGCATTAACGGACATCTGTTAATATAAAAAATTAATAGTTTTAAATGAAGAACTTACCAGATCCAGTGAAACAGATTTTAAAATTTCTCTTGTAGATTCTTCTATTCCTGTAAAATTTTCATTGCTCCTAGCAGTTTTATTGCAGAGCCTACAAAATATTCGTCTAGAATCTTCCATTTATGCATTATTTTTTCCTTTTTGATTATTGTAAAATTGTATCTAAAAACAATAACACGATTTATAACCTATATCCTCGTTAGTGACGGATGGGAGTATTCGAATGAAAAATCGAGCAGTATTCGATTCTTAAAAGTTGTTACTCTGAAATCAATATTTCCGTTCATTTGTCGAAAGTTTTCGAACGCTTTTAGTTCTCGATGGATGCTGATAAGTTCTCGAGAGCGAGATCTACTCGTACAGACGAATGAATCAAAATACTATTTGTGCATGACTTTAAATATTGTTTATTGAAAATAAACATACTGAAGTACCGAGTGTTTAAAAAATGTATTTAAAAGATAAATTTAAATAATTTTATACGAAACTTTACACAGTACGTATATGAACGGATGATCACATATTTTTGGAATAAAAATGAACCTGTATTAAAATCGTTTCGTTTGGCCGCCAGATGGCCTCAAAGTTCCTAAAAATTTTTTGAATTTTATAAAAATATTTCCAGTTGGTAGCTTATGCCGTTCGGAAGTTTTTCTTTTCTAAATTACAATACAATTTTTTAAATTTAATTTAGATGGGCGGTTTAGGTCCAAAAAATTATTATTAAATATTTATATATCTTGTACCTGTATTTACTAAAATCATCAATAAAGTTGCTACAAAAGTAGCTATTTAGTATTGGCAAACCTTCAACATGTTTATGTACATAATATCTCCATTCAAAGCAGTAACTATTATCAATTGTAAGTAAATGATACAAGCAGAATAATACAAAAGAACATTGTAAGTAGATATCTTTTTTTTCATTCTGTATCGAAAGTTTTTAGTTAGGTAATACAATATAGATTTGAAAACATTTAATCATTGTATGCGTACTTTTTCAATATTTATATATTTTCTTTACACTAACATTAGTATACCAAAAAGGTATCAAAATAGAAAAAAACTATGTCAGAAGATTTCATGAAATTGTTTTTATCTATCTCTTGAAAAGATACAAGTTCAAAATGTAATTTTGCTAATAAAAAATTGCATATCTTAATTTGAAAAGTACATACCTTTAATATGTATACAAAATTATAATAATGATGATGGAGACATCTACACATTAATTTTTTATTACCTTCCATCAAGGCGAGTCGAAAAACAATTAAAATACATGAGTATACTACTCTTGTGGGGGAGGTTAATATTTTATTAAACTTAATGACCTCAAAATATTTACAAATACACTCAAGACAAATAAAATAACATCTTTGTCATTTATGATTTTAAATACTGATCAGTGGTCACTATTTATAAATCTATTCAAGTAGGAGGCGTATCATTAATTGTCACAGTTGTTGCCCACTGTTAGCAAATTTTCTTTTTTCCATATTCTGTGAAGAAATTTTTTTTTTTTCTATTTTTAAATTCTTCAAGGATTTTTTTTTTCCATTTTTTGGAAAGGTTTTTTGGTTTTTTTTTTTTTTTATTTAAGGTTTTTGGAGCTTTTTTTTGGGCAAAAAAAAAATTCGGCAAGTATTCTAAATTGCGGAAGAAATTACAGCAACTGATTGATACAACTGAATTGATATTTGAAAACGAAGTGGAAACTGCTGTCAAAAAAGAACATTTTTTTTACGTTTACGTTTAACTACTTCCACATTTAATGATATAGGCACATACAAATAAAAATCTTTCATTTCCCAAAAACTGTAATTTTTCATAAAATTACATTAAAACACAACATTCTCTTTCACTGACTACAATTGGTGTAATTTTTCACGAGCTTCTTTTCAACCAATCAGAGATCGCATTATCTCTAGCATAGACTTAACAGTTTGTCATTGTCCATTGTAATTTTTCGTTACCAGTACTTAGCTCTGCAGTGTTGGTTGCCTAAACTCAGTGGCCACGTGGTTTGTATTCATTTATGAAGGCTGTGTACTAGGTTATGTAAGTTTTTTGAAAGCAACATTTTATGATAAAAAGAAGCAAATATCAAGTTAACACTTTAATACGTTTCCACTCTGAAAGAATCCTGGTGTTTTACTACATGACTTTTTTAACTCTGATGTTTGAAAAATGTTCATGTACTGATGGATAATTTGCAGGATGCGGTGTCATCATACGTATCATGTTCCCACTTTTGCACTGTTCAAGGGATTCCGATGTAACAATTGATGCTTTTTGACATTCTGTTTATACTTTGTTTCATATGTACATATGTCACATTTGTACATTTGGGTTTCAAAAGAATTTTTGTGTGTTAACTGATGTTCTTTTAAGCGATTCTTATGTTTAGTTTCGTAAGTACAACTATCACATTTGTACAGTTGAATCTCTGAAGAATCTTTGTGTATTAATTGATGCTTTTTGATATTCTGGTTGTACCTAGTTTCATATTCACATAGATCACATTTGTACATTTTGATTTCCGATGGATTCTTGTGTCTTAACTGATGAATCTTTAAACGATTCTTGTGTTTAGTTTCGTAAGTGCAAGTATCGCACTTGTACATTTGAGTTTCCGAGGAATCTTTGTGTATTAATTGATGAGATTTTAAATGTCTGTCGTACTTAGTTTCGAAACTACACATATCGCACTTGTAGATTTGAATTTCTGAAGGGTTCTTATGCATCAGTAACTGATGCCTTTTTAGATGATTCTTATATTTAGTTTCGTGATCACACATATCACACTTGTACATTTGGATTTCTGAAGGGTCTTTGTGCATTAACTGATGCCTGTTTAGCTTGCCCTTGAATTTTGTCTCATAATTACAAATATCGCATTTGAACAGTTGAATTTCTGAAGAATCCTTGTGCATTAAATTATGATTTTTGAAGTTCTGCTTATACTTAGTTTCATATCCACATGTATCGCATCTGTACATTTGGATTTCTGAAGGGTCTTTGTGTGTTACCTCGTGCCGCTTTAGGTGATCCTTATATTTAGTTTTATAATCACAAGCACCACACCTGTACATTTGAATTTCCGAAGGGTCTACGTGTTTTAACTGATGCATTCTTAGATGACCCCTGTGTTTAGTCTCGTAAGTACATGTATCACATTTGTACATTGTTGCTCCGGATGAGCCTTTGCTTATTAACTGTGGGCATTTGGAACTTTCCTTATGTCCCTGAGAAGTTTCCTGTTTTACAATATTGTTAATATCGGTTATGTATTCACTATTATATGGTGGTATATCAAAAGGAGCTTCATTTTTGCTTAATTGAAATTCTGCTGTGTCAGATCTATGTACATATTCACATTTTATTTCTCCTACATCTTCTGAAGTATGCCTTGTTTTATTTTTACTTGTTTCGTTATGTAAGGCATAAAAAAAGGAATCCCTGAAAAAAATTGTTTACACATTAATTTTATAAATACTTTTAGTGTGACTTCATGTCACAAGGAAGTAGCCGTCTTTGTCAAACAAAAATACAAGATATTTATTTGAATGAATACATTATTTAACAATTTAATGTTTGTTAAAACGGTCAGGTCCATTGTTGTTTATTATGCAATCATGCGCGGATCACTGAATGAACTAATGAACTGTCTAAATTTTAAGAAAGGTTGCCATTGCCTGTGAAAAAATATACCCCAAATATGCCAGATTTAAGCATGAGCAACATATTTTTTATTTAAGTGGAAAACAAAATATTCGAAAAAATAAACTGAGCTTCTGGGATCGTACCAAATCAGTTCGATTCAAATATTTTGATGGTACCGAACATTAATTTTGATGTCATAAACTATTTTGCTCAAATAAATTTGAATGACAGAAAATTGATAGCCTGATTAGGGCTTAAGACGATCAATGATGGGAGAGGGGTAGAAATATGATCGAGCAGAGTAGTAGGACTAGATTTATATCAGCTGGAGTAGATATACTCCGATAGGACTAATCGGATCACAATTTCCGAAAATCCATTTAGATTATTAATATTGAAGAAACATCGTAATTGTTTGTGTAATTACTACATAACGATTTATAATAAATCGTCTATGTAGAATTTCTCAACTTTCTCACCTTTCCCAATCATTTCCTTCACTTTTTATATCAACTTCTTCAGTTTTGATCAGCATTTCTCCTGCCTCTAGCTCTTTTTTAATTTTAATCGTCCCTTCCGCCCTCTCTTTAGTTCCTAATCCCTTTTCATCATTTTCACTTTTATTAAACGTATCACTATGCTCAAAACTTGTGATTTTATTGTGACCTATGTTGCGAATTTGCGTTTCAACATCCAAACATGTCCTTATGAAAGTATCGTGAATGCTGATTGAATCAAAACATTGCTTACAAACGATTGGGTCCTCAGTGATGAAAAAATTCTACAACACAAGAGTTTGTTAAGATTTTTAAATTTTATACATGTAAAATGACTATTTACCACTTCTGGGATATATCTATGAATCATCTCTAACTTCATTTCACAAAATGGCACAAATTCTTCGTGAACTAAGTGTAAACATAATCGACATATCTTCTGATCATCTTCTAGTTTAACCGACGTTTTGTTCTCATGTTCTTTCAAATAAACTTCTCTTAAGTTTACGAATGACACTTTGGGATTAACATAGGAAGTGATCTTGTGTTCAACATAGAGACAAGTGGATTTAAAACCAAACGCAGAGTACAGTTTAATAGAACAGGTAGAGCATATGACATGTTTATGGTTGACCAAGTCCTGAAATATTTTTATTGGAAAAGTACAAGTATTTGACTAGTAATACATTTGTTACTTCCAATTGACTTTAAAAAATTAGCCCTCTTAGCTTGGACATTAAAAATTTACATAGTTTTAAATTAATAACTTACCAGATTCAGCGAGACAGTGTTTAAAATTTTGTTTGTAGATTCATCTACCACTGTAAAATTTTCATTGCTTACAGTATTAATGCAAAGTCTGCAAAATATTCTTTTAGAATCTTCCATTTCTGTATTATTTTTAATAGAATAGAAATAAATAGAATTTATGAAATCATAACCTTTATACTTTATATTTGTACAACTGAAGTTACTTCTTCTTCTGCCCCTGTATGGTCTTCGTCCTAAACCTAACCGGAAACCTAAAAAGATGTAGACTGCGTCATCTACATGTAGCCAATGACAGCGGTTATTACCAACATAAAAAGTCCACAACTGATATAATTCGAGTTTCGCCGGCTCGTCTGTGTAAACCCCGGGGGTGGTGTCATGTTTATGGTTGGGTACGGTAGTACGGCTATGCAGCCTGGGAATTACACTGTCAAGTCTGGTTTGGACTGTCATAAGCGAAATAATACTTATACATGGAGATAATTTTTTTTTTATTTAAATCGGATTGGTTGAAAATTCTATTGGTCCTTGGTATATCTGTCATTTTTGCCGTCTACGTACTACGAGATTTAGATTTTTGCAGATCTGCATCCTAGATAAATGATACTGACCTGCATTTATATTCCTATGCAGAGTTGCCAGATGTGGCGATTTATCACTATTATGGCGACACAACATATTCGAATGGCTGTCAAAAATTTTTTGGCGATTTTTACTATAATTGTCTATTTGTACTTATGGTATCGCTTATTTTCCCATTACATGGTAAAGATNCATCGGGTTGTAAAACGGGTGGCGCCTTAAGAGAATTATTTTCAGTTATATCAACCCCACCCCCATTGCTGAGCTGAGCTAGGGCCAACCCTATAGTTGGAGAGAGCCTTATTGTCCTTGGAAAGGAAAATCTATTAAAATTTTATTTTACCACCCACAAGCTGGTAGCAAGATATTTATGGAAATATTTTCTTTTCACATATTAATAAATTTATTTAATTAACCTAGGGCCACCTAACATACTTTAACGTGTATCTAGTTCATTGATTATTTCAGATGACAAATTTTTGTCTATTGTTTTCCATCTAGTGGCGATAAAATTTCTCTGGCTGGCAACCTTGATCCCTAGTCCGATCCACAAAGTGGATAATTACAGTAAAAAAGAAAAAAACAACGGTTGTCGATCAAAATGAAGCAATTAACCAAGTATAATATTATCAAGTACCACAATGTACACAATTATTTTTTAGTTTTTAATACTTTTTACCATCTTTAATAATTTATAGCTCTCTGAAACTTGGCATAGGGGTCTTATAATAGCCAAACATGTTATCTACTAAAAGAGAAAAGATTGACCGACATTATTTTTTACTATATTTTTGCAGTTTGTAGAGATTTTGAGAAACAACAATTTATTTTCCTGTAAAAAGTTTTATTTGTAACAAAGTAAATACACAAATTAGGTGTAGTTAAACATCACTAAAAAGTTAAGTATAAATATTGAATTCTAGGCCATTAGAGAAAACCAGTTCTCTGGTTAATTTTCGATAGATTATACCATTTTTGAGAAATCCGAAAGAGAAAAAGAGTACAACCAAGTCAAAAATGGGCCGATGATTAAAGATCTAACAAAATTCGACTGCCACAGACTAATAAAAATCCATAGCAAGTAACAAAGTAAGATCGAAGAGCCTTGGTAACAGACTTGAAGCTGTGAGCCTCTAAAAAATCGTCAATAATTGCTCCTAAAATTACACTAACAGAGTTTTTTATACCTTGTCTGGGAAGTACATTTATCACAATTTGTGCATTTTCCTTCTTGAGGGATGGTGTTTCAATACATGAACAATTAAACTCTTTTTACATACGGTTTCAAAAACACATTCGTTGCACTTGAATAAGTCTACAGAATGTTTCTGTACAGAAAGACAGTTTGCAGGATAGCATTTATCACCAGGGCCATCATCTTCCTACTTTTGAGATGTGGAAGGGGTCTCATGTTTTGATTGATGCTTTTTGATATTATGCTTATACTTAGTTTCATATCTGCATAAATTACATTTATACATTTGGACTTCCAAGGGGTTTTTGTGCTTTAACTGATGATTTTTTAAACGATTCTTATATTTGGTTTCGTAAGTACAAGCATCACACTTATACATTTGGACTTGTGAAGAATCTGTGTGTATTAATTGATGTAATCTTAGATGTCTTTTGTACTTAGTTTCAAAATTGCATGTGTCACACTTGTACATTTGAATTTCTGAGGAATCTTTGTGTGTTAGTTGATGTGATTTTAGATGTCCCTTGTACTTAGTTTCGTAACTACAAGTATCACATTTGTACATTTGGATTTCCAAACGGCTTTTGTGTGTCAACTCGTGCACTTTTAGGTGCCTCTTGTGTTTAGTTTCATAATTACACACATCACAATTATACATTTGCGTTTCCGAAGAGTTTTTGTGTGTTAACTGATGAAATTTTAGACAATTCTTAGATTTAGCTTCGTAACTACAGGTATCACATTTGTACATTTGTATATCTGAAGGGTCTTTGTGGGTTGATTGATGCATTTTTAGTCATTTTGGGTATCTTGTCTCATAAGTACATACGTCACACTTGTACTTTTTGACTTCCGAAGGGTCTTTGTGCAATATTTGATGCCTCTTCAAATAACTCTTATGTTTAGTTTCGAAATTACACATTTCACATTTATACATCTGAACTTCCAACGGGTCTTTGTGAATTAATTGATGTTTTTTTACATGATTCTTATATTTCGTTTCATAACTACAAGTATCACATTTGTACATTTGGATTTCTGAAGGATCTTTGTGAGTTAACTGATGCTTATTTAGACATTTCTTGTATTTAGTTTCAAAACCACAAGCATCACACTTGTACATTTGGATTTCTGAAGAGTCTTTGTGAGTTAATTGATGTGGTTTTAGATGTCTCTTAAATTTAGTTTCAAAATTGCATGTATCACACTTGTACATTTCAGTTTCTGAAGGATCTTTGTGTGTTAACTGATGCATTTTCATATGACTCTTATGTGTAGTTACATAATTACACATATTGCATTTGTGTAAACATGCTTCAGAAGAGTCTTTGCTTGTTGACTCGCGGCATGTGGAACTTCCCTGTTCCAGAGCAACCTCCTGTTTCAGATCATTGTTTAACTCGTTTTTGTATTCACTTTTGTGTAATTTTACATTTATTGGTGACTCACATTTGCTTAATTGAACTTCTGTCCCACATTCAAGAATAGATTCATTTTTTATTTCTCTTGCATCTCTGTTATATAAGTCACATGAAAAGGAATTCCTGAAAGAAAATTATTCACAATAACATATAGAGGGTGAATATGCAGTGCCTATTTTAACAAGGGGTATAATTTGCGATGTAAATAAATCTGAAAATCAATATTCTCACCTTTCCCAATCATTTTCCTCACTTTTAACGTCAACTTCTTTAGTTTCGATCATCATTTCTTCCCTCTCTAGCCCTTTTTCAATTTTAATTGATCTCTCCATCTGTAATCCGATTCCATCATTTTCGTTATTAATAATCATATTACTATGCTCAAAATCTGTTCTGTTTTCGCATATGTTCTGAACGTTGGTTTGAACATCCAAACAGGTCCTTATAAAAGTATCGTGAATGCTTAGCGAATCTAAACATTGCCTGCAAACAACTGGGTCTTCGGTGACGTCAAAATCCTACAACATAAAAGTTCTTAAAAATATTAACGTTTTTAAGCTTTAAAATGTGCTTAAAACGGATATTTACCACTTGCGGGATGTATCTATGAATCACGTCTAAGTTTATTTCATAAGATGGCACATATTCTTCATTAATTAACTGCAAACATAATCGACATATTTTCTGATCATCTTCCATTTTCACCATGAAACTGTTCTCGTGTTCCTTTAAATAAACTTCTCTTAAGTTGACGAAGGTCACTTTTTCAGGAATCACATAAGAAGCAATCTTCTCCTCAAGGTAAAGACAAGTGGATTTAAAGTTAAAAGCAGAGTATAGTTTAACAGAGCAGTTAGAACACACGGCATGTTTATAGTTGTTGTCCAAGTCCTGAAATATACTTTTTACAGAGAATGATATTATTTTACCAGTAATTCTTTTGCTTAATTTGCAACATTAATAACTTACTAGATACAGCGAAACCGTTTTTAAAATTTCCCTTGTTGATTCGTCTATCAATGTAAAATTCCCGTTGCTCACATTATTAAAGCAAAGCTTGCAAAGTTTTCCTTTAGAACTTTCCATTTATGTATTTTTTTTCTTTTTTGACTATCTTTAACTTAAAAACAGAACCTAACCTCGATTTATCAGTTCGCTCCATAAAACTAGAGATGTGTTGCGATTTCACTGTCTGCTACTTTGGCGGTGTTCCCTATTTGTCACTGGTGTAGAAAAGAGGTGATTTTTCGGAACGTTTGCTGTAATTCCATGGTGCGTGCCATGTGGTCGTGTGAAATTTGAGCGAATACGCCTATCTATAATAAATAAACGTAGGAAAACAGTTTTAAAAATTTTGTTACGACTGCGAACTGGCGCAAGAATGTAAATAAACAGACCTTATTTCCACTATTTGGTCACATGAATAAAAAAAAACAGATGGGCATATTCGCTCAAATTTCACGACCCGTACCATGCCAAAGCTGTTATGTGGAATGACTCTTACAAGTGTCAGCGGCATCGGCGCAGAGCAGATTCTCGATCAGCGATCAGAGATATAAGAGCGTCTAATCGAACCACCCACAGATAACGACGAAAACGAACCACATATAGATGTTTCGTCGTCAATAACACTATAGCCGCCGTCTCTAAGTCCGTCAGAAATTGATGAAGAATATAATAGTGACGGAAGTAGTACGTCGTCAGGAGAAATCCGCATGAATGAGGTAGACCAATAAAGAGAGGTAAATTCACATAGTGAACTTCAAAGGGATACATACAAAAATCGGCTCTTTTCAGAGCCACCAAAACGATTAAAAAGGAATTCGAAAAAAACCTCAACAAATATAATAAAATGTAAAAAAAAAAAACATCTTAAAACGCCTATAATAATGTCCTTTAAACAAACCTCAAAAAGGAAGAGTCATATAAATCCGCCGCAACCAACATTAAAATAATTAAAATAGAAAAAAGCGAGTACTCGCCGCTTCGCGGCTCGCAAGTATACCACCCACTTGCAAGTAAGAACGCGAAACAGTAACCTTAAAAATCCAACGTCCAAATAAAGAAAAATAGGGCCGCCGAAACCAAAACAAATAGCGGAAAGGCCCTTCGGGCCCCTCGCCTCACCACTTCGCGCCACTATATCTCTGTCAGCGATCAGCATTTGAACTAGTCACAGTACAGTTGCGCTTGAATTTATGGTGTCGCATTAATTAAAGTCATCATGTTTCAGCGACTACAAAAGAGAGATGCGACACATTCGTATATTATTATGACATATGTACATAAATTATAATTAAAAATATTTTTCTTATTACTTGTAGGGTTTATTACTTTAGTTTGTTTTTGTAATGGATTAAAGTCTCTAAATACATACACTGATTAATTTTTTTATGCTATATACTGATATTTCATCCTTTAGTTTTTCTTTGAAGTGTAGGTCCTTTTCTTGTGTAGTTTATAAATAAAAGCGTGGTTCCGTTCCTACTGTGGCCCTTTGATCTTGTCGTTCTTTCTCTGGATTCTTGTCTTTTTGTTGTATTAGTTATCAAAATTTCAGTCTTATCTGTGTTTTGTTCTTCTTTATTAACTGTTTGTTGTTTTTCTAACTTTAACAAATTCTTCATGATATATTTTACTGCATTTATTATTAGGAAATTGCTTTTAATTATCACCTTTTTATTTTGGCTTTGGGCAATTTTTTTGTTTAGTACATTTTTTGCACTTCACGACCCTTGATTAAATCATTTCCAATTAATGTAACAGTTTTTCAAAATTCAATTTGACTTCGCTATTAGTAATATCACTTTGCATTATCAAACTATTATCTTTAAATGTACAAGAATAAAACGGAGGACAGTTTGATATGTTTTCTCGACAGCGGGTTGAATGGGAATGATTGCAGCATCATTTACATGGGTATAAAGACTAATGTTTCCACTCAGAATTAGTCATTTCTCTATACTATAGAAGTACTTCCTTTCAGAAATCAAATGTTTCCTTTGACTTTTGAAATAGAGGGCAGAGTTAAGTGGTCAAGCTCAGTCAAGGTCAGAAGGTGCAGATAATTGAGACAGCAATAGGAGAAGTAACCTACTATTACATTTTTTTGCTCTCACAATCAGTGATATGAAAATCAAAACTTACTGTACATACTTTGAAACATATATGTATCAGAACAAATACGTCCTGCTGAAATGCTGTAATAAATGATAAAAGAAAAATCATAGCTGTAACATAATCTTCTGATAGGGAACGGTGTTATAGTAATATAGGTACAGCGGTATAAAATCAGCATGTATAGTTAAATTTTATTTAATTCGTTTAAATCCTACAATATAAAAACTATAACAGGGTTGAAAACTAATTCCAGGTCTTAAAAATAACAGTAATAAAATACAAATGGGAATAGTGTTAACAATATACTGTTCTCTCACACCTATTCCCACCAAAAAAAGAATTACATTAAAATTATAAATTATACAGGGTGATTTCACTTTAAATACGGAAACTGCAGGAATAGATTAACTGCTAAAAAATAAGTAGAGTTTGCTCTATAAACTTTTTTCCTAGGGGGCGTGGTATTCGAGATACAGAGTGTTCAAGTTTCCAAAAAAAATTATATTTACTGTAACATCATATTGCGCTGAACGATTTGAATGACATTTACTACAGCGTATTCACTTAATTAGACCTTTTATTGAATGTAATATTAACCACGTGGCTTTAACCAGTGGTGTGCTACTAAAGGTTACGTTCCGTTCTCCCATGAAAAAAAAAATACTCCACTGGCGGTTTTTTGTAGAAATAACGTTAAATTCAGTTACTGTTACGATAAATGAATGAAAAGTGTTTCTTGGTGTTTTTTTAATAATAGCAGCCGTTTAGGGGATAATTTACTTATTTGCCGACCATAATCTACAAAAATTGATAGTTTTTTCTGCATTATCAGTTAGTAAGCTTTACGATGATCTCATTTTAGTATTATAATTAGCTTTGTTTATTTATTCCTGAAGCGCTGCAGTTCTTGGGCTTATGAACACGAGACGAATTGTGGCAAAGAATAGAGGAAAATTGTAATCTCCTCAAGGGAAATCATGCCATGATAAGTTCCCTATAAATAGCCTGATTAGAAGATGTCAAAAGTGTACCTAGGCGAATGGACTTTTGGACAATTAACTTTTGTACGACTAGTTACTCGGTTACTTACTCGACCTATTTGCTCATGCTATTTTACTATTTAGTGTGATATTTTTTCCAGAAATAAAATTATTTTTACAAAAAACTGCCAGTGGTGTATTCTTTTCTCAGGCAAAGTTAGCGGATGCTTTAGTAGCACCTCACTGGTTAAAACCAGGAGGTTTTCATCAATTAAACGGATTAATTTATAAGGAAAATTAAATGAAACGTAAAAACAAGTAAACAGATCTCCTAAACGGCTGTTACTATTAAAAAACATCAAGAAACATTTTTTCTACAAAAAACCGCTTGTGGCATATTTTTTTCTAGGGAAAATGGGGTGGCACCTTCAGTAGCACGCCACTGGTTAATACCACGAGGTTAATATTACATTGAATAAGTAAAAGGTCTAATTAAGTGGATACGCTGCAGTTAATTTAATTCAATTCCGTCAGCACATTATGCAGATATGGCACAAAATACATATTTTTTAGTAAACTTTAACACCTTGCATCTCGAATACCGAGTCCCGCAGGAAAAAAGTTTATAAAGCACTCTAATTATTTGTCGTTAATGAATCTAGTCCTGCAATTTCTGTGTTTAAACTGAAATCACCCTTTATATAGGATGCATGGTGAATCTATTCTATTTATCTATTTAATTTCATATTGTTATACAAAGTGTCTACACCAGTCAAAACTGAAGAAGGAAACACATTAAAATAAAGTAAAATAGCTTATAGCCTTAACAATAATTAGAACAGAATAGAACCTTATATGTGTTTTAACAGCGGATATAATTTGCGATGTAAATTGAATCCAGATATTCATTTTTTCTTAAATTAATATATGTTATGTAATGATCTATTACATGTTGTACATAATAAATTGTATCGCTATTTAAAATACACACTTACACATCTAAGGTTCACAATGAATTTTGGCTCACTACGCTCTAAATATACAAGTATACATGCTCTAACATTTGCGATGGGTGTCATATTAACATTTGTAGCTCTTAATTACGTCCATTTTTGACTACATTTTGCAAGATACACGAAGAGAGGTAATTCACACCCGCAAACGTTTTTTATGCATCAATTGAGGTCTCCTCAAAGACTCTTTATGTTCAGTTGTTAGCAAAGCACAAGGGTACGTTCGCAATTAAGGAGTCTCTCTATATTTCTGTATTTAGTTTCATAATCGTAGTCGTTACACCTGTACAATTGAACCTGTGAAGGATCTTTATGCTTAAGTTGGCGCTGTTTGATACCATTCCTGAAAAGGTGTCCCAAAAGAAATGCAGGATTTCATATGAGGAAAAAAAGATTTAATTACAAAGCTGGCAAAGTTTTTACATGTTATTAAAAGGATAGATGTCCTCCGTGACTCACCTGACATACTCGACTTCTTTTAAAAAAATTCTGTATTACGCTTTCACATATCTGCGGCTGAATTTCGCTGATAACTCTCCGAATTTCTGGCTTTAATTCAAAATCACCCGGGAAAAAATCGAAGAATGTTACACGAGATGAATTGTCCATTAAATTTCTGCCGTAACAAGTGGATAGTTTTACGGGCCTTATGGCAGATGGAACTATCCTGCCGGATCCACATGTAATCCAAATCCATGCCATCCAAATGACCACAAAAGTTCAATAGTATCTCTTGATATCGTTCTCTATTGACAGTTACTACGTTCCCAGTCTCATTTTCAAAATAGAACAAACCAAACAACCTACCAGCATAAAATTCACACCACATTATCACTCTTTGGGTATACAGTAGTCGTTGTTAAATGACCCGGAGATTGTCTGCCGTAAATTTGACAGTTTTGCTTTTTCATATACCCACTAAGATGGAAATGCACCTCGTCACTAAAGTTGATTTTCCAAGCAACATCATCATCCAGTTGTTGCTGCTCCAACATCCAATCAACGAATGTCCAGCACATTACCTGAATCTTGAATGGATGCAGGTGCAGATCTTTTGTTAAAATCCGCTGCATTGTACTTTTTGAAATGTTTAATTACAATAACCGACGGCGTACTCTTGTAATATTTTCGGCTAAACAGCCAGTACGAGGCCGTCCTATTCCTTTACAAGCTTTTATTTAACATGCCTTGTTAGAATGGGTCAAATATTGTAACTGAATTTTGAAACAGTTATCCTCTACCGATTGAATTGAAGTTTTGCATACACGTTTAGTTTGGACGACAATGCATGGTTAGCTATGTTACGCGTCATTCTAAATCCAATATAGCGGAGCACCAAAGATGGCGGACCAGTTATTTTTTATGCACCTCCATGAAAGGGGTTGTTGAGAAGAATACGAAAATAAAATAAAATGACGTCACCAAAAGCTCGTTTTTTTTAAAAAAAAATTTTACACATGAACTTATTGTTTGCAACCGAACCTGTTTGTTCAAATTTGATCACAGCCCCACAAAAAAAAAAGTGGCAGGTCCGATAGACAAGACCATGGTATCCATATGGTTTTGGGGTTGCTGAATCCGAATCCGGTGTCCGTTTGAAACGATTAGCTCTGGTTTAAGGTCAGTTCAAGGTCAAACGTAGAAAATCAATTATCAACAACTTAAACCTAGGTATTTATTTTTCAACTTTATGTATCGTTTTTGGGGTGGCTGAATCCGAATCCGGTGTCCGTTTGACGCGATTAGCTCTGGTTTAAGGTCAGTTCAAGGTCAAATGTAGAGAATCAATTGCCAACAAAGTAAATCTACATATCTATAAGTTTTTGGGGTCGCCGAATCCGAATCTGATGTCCGTTTGACTCAATCAGATCTGGGTTGAGGTCAGTTCAAGGTCAAATGTGGAGAATCAATTGAAACCAAAGTAAACTTACATATCTATACGTTTTGGGGGTCGTTGAATCCGAATCTGATGTCCGTTCGAAACGTTCAGGTCTATTAAATACTTTCCAATAGGAATCAGATCAATTAGCTTACGAAAGATACTTATATAAATATTTTGGTTTTAAACCTAAGTGAAAAATTTGATTGGGTTTGAGCAGAGAGAAAGGTTTCACCAAGATATTAAAGGGCGAAATTTGGGTGGCAATGAAACTGGCAGAGAATGGAGCAGAGTTCCTAATATCATGGCTAAAAAAATACTAAACAAGCTCGAAAAGTGCAAGCTTTTTACTATCAGTACAGAAATAAGGAATATTTTTCTAACGATGAAGAATTTTCCTTAGGTTACTACAATGATATTGTTGGATAAATCACTTCAAACATGGATGTTGTAAACCTAACGCAGATTGAAATAAGAGTGCCATATTTTGAGGATAGTCTTACATAGGATCAAATATGAACAACGTAAATGGCTTTACAATTGACCTTGAACTAACCTTAAACCAGAGCTAATCGCGTCATACGGACACCAGATTCAGAATCGATGAACTCAAAAACGTATAGATACGTAGGTTTAGTTTGTTGACAATTGATTTTCTACATTTGACCTTGAACTGACCTAAAACCAGAGCTGAACGCGTCAAACCAACACCGGATTCGGATTCAGCGATCCCAAAAACGTATAGATACACAGGTTTAGTTTGTTGACAATTGATTTTCTACATTTGACCTTGAACTGAGCTTAAGCCAGAGCTAATCGTGTTAAACGGACACCGGATTCGGATTCAGCGACAACAAAACTATATGGATACCATGGTCTTGTCTTTCAGACTTGGCACTTTTTTTTTTGTGGACCTGTGTAGTTAATCATTTCAATTTCTTCATTGGGGGGCAATGGTTCTTCCAAAATTTTCAAGTAATTTGCACACCATCTCAGCTACACACTCTCCGTACTTTTAAGGAATTTTCACAATCATCATTCGCTCTTCTGTTGTATAGTGCTCGATTTTGTCTAACCGCAACCTGTTTACTACAACATGCGACCCTGTACAATGAATATAGCGCACAACGCAAACCCTGCGTTACTTTTGGGACACCCTTTATTTAGTTTTGTAATCGCAGTCTTTACGTCTCTATGTTTGAATTTGCGAAGGGCCTTTATGTTTCAGTTGGTGCCGTTTCAAATTACTCTTATATTTAGTTTTATGATCGCAGTCATTACACCTGTACATCTGAACCTGCGAAGAATCTTTATGTTTCAGTTGGTGCTGTTTGATAACATTCTTATATTTACTTTTGAAATTGCAGTCGTTACACCTGTACATTTGAACCTGCGAAGGATTTTTATGTTTCCGTTGGTGTTTTTTGATATTATCCCTGTATTTACTTTCATAACTGCAATCATTACACCTGTACATTTGAACCTGCGAAGGATGTTTATGTTTCAGTTGATGCCGTTTGATATGACTTTCATATTTATTTTCGTAATCGCAGTCGTTACATTTGTACATCTTTGTCTGAGAAGGATTTTTATGTTTCCACTGCTGCTTTTTGATATGACACTTATATTTAATTTCGTAATTGCAATCAATAGACCTGTACATTTGAACCTGCGAAGGATTTTTATGTTGCGGTAGATGCCTTTTGATATGACTCTTATATTTAGTTTCGTAATCGCAGTCGTTACACCTATACATTTGTACCTGTGAAGGATCTTTATGTTTCAGTTGATGCCGTCCGATATTGTCCTTGTACTTAGTTTCGTAATTGCAGTTGTTACACCTGTACATTTGAATCTGTGAAGAATCTTTATGTTTTAGTTGGTGCTGTTTGATGACATTCTTGTATTTAGTTTTGAAATGACAGTCGTTACATCCGTACATTTGAATTTGCGAAGGATCTTTATGTTTCAGTTGGAGCTGATTGTGGTTGTTACGCCTGTACATTTGAACCAGTGAAGGATCTTTATGTTGCAGTTGGTGCCGTTTCATATTAGCCTTATATTTAGTTTCATGTTCGCAGTCATTACACCTGTACATTTGAATCTGCGAAGCATCTTTATGTTTTAGTTGGTGCTGTTTAAAAACATTCTTGTATTTAGTTTCATAAATGCAGTTGTTACATCTATACATTTGAATTTGCAAAGGATCTTTATGTTTCAGTTGGTGCCGTATCATATTGTCTTTATATTTAGCTTCGTAATCGCAGTCGTTACATCTGTACATTTTGATCTGTGAGGGGTCTTTATGTCTCAACTGGTGCCTATGAAGTAATTTCTTATTTTCAGTTTCATACTGACACAATTCACATTTATACGCTTCCGAATCATTCTCGTGTCTCACACACTGTGCCTCAAAAAGGCTCTTGCTTCTAGTTTCATAAATACATTTATCACATTTGCACAATACTTTGCACTCCTGCTTGGTTTTCGTATTACATTTGCTCTCCAATCCGTTTTCATGTTTATATCCTTCCTCTTCTGCATCTTTACAAACATTCTTCTCGAATGGTTCATTATCGGAGCTCTGCACTGGCGTGTCGCTGAAAAATTTGCATATACAACTTCATTTAAATCACACAAAGTGTTTTAGAATTATATGTAGTGAAACTAAAATTTTTTGCCAACTTTGATGCCCTTTTACATTGGTGTTACAAGTAGTACATTTTTTTTTAGAAAAAGATTGAAAATCAAGTGTGATACAAACTTATCAGGTATTCGTGGTTAGGTGAGTACCACGACTAGGCACCGTGCCGTTTTTTAATTTAATACTAATGTAATCTTCTCTTACCTTCTTTCCTCATCTTCAGATTTTATGTCGTCACATTCAGTTTTCATTGTCATTTCCATCTCGTTAATATCTAATTCACTGTTCAGACTTTCACTCTTAACGAATAAATCAGATGATGACGTATCTATATGATTTTCTGTACCTTTAAGTTTTTCCTCTACTTCTAAGCATTCTCTTAAGAAACTGTTGTGGGTACACAGAGAATCAAAGCATGGCTTACATATAACGGGATCTTTGATAATATTTATATTCTGCAAAGTAATTTTCTTAAATTGTGAAAAATGAAAGTATTTAATATAGTTCATACCATTTCAGGAGTCAATTTCTCAATAGCTTGGAGTTCCTCTTCACGTATGCAGGTAAACTCACTTTTTACTACCTTCATACACAATCGACATATTTTCTGACTGTCTGAAATATCCATTGACTCGCTTCCCTTTTCCTTCGTGTACACTTCTTTCATATCGAGCTGTAACATCTTTTCGCAATCCACGTATGGAATAATTGTTTTATCAGTATTCAGACATATCGACTTGAATTCTAATGCTGCGTATAATTTTCTTCTGCAAGCATTACATAAAAGCTCTTTGCTCTCATCATCAAATTTCTAAAATATATGCAACTTTAACCAAACAAAGACACAATAATTATGGTAGAAAATAACAACTACTGTGAAGTCGCTACACACACGTTGGGATCATTGAGAGGTCTATGAACTGAGATAATGGAAACTAATATATTTCATTCACTTACCACTTTCACTAAAAGAACGTCTAGAATATCTCTGATAACGTTGTCTATCACCTCAAACCTTTTAACGATTACAGTTTTAAGGCAAAGCCTACACGAAGTTTCTTGAATACCAGTCATTACAACAATTTTCTTTGTAATGTAAAAATAAACCCGTCAAATGTGACTTGCGTTGCTCTTTTAACCTCAATTCAATTAAAAAATGGAATTAGAGGTGGGCAAGATCTGCATCATACGAATATATATTATACCCATCTCTAATGGGAATCGGTTCATGTGAATACCGGTACAGATATATGTAATTAGAATATATACGAGACAGAGAGTGATGCAAGAAATTGTATTAAGTATAAGCGATAGAGGCGCACGGTACGGTATGATTTTTCTGAGTACCCGTTTTTTTCATTACGATACTTGACATTTTGCACCGGTATTACAACTTGCGATAGAATACGGTCCGGTTCCGGTACATTTTCTGCCAATACCTATGGGCAGTGAAGTAGTTTACTTGCGACTTTCCAAAAAAGTGACGAACTATCAGTAGATATAAAGTTATTAGCGTTAAACTCGATGGTAAATAGCGAAGTACGAAGTATGTGTGACTATAGACTAGCAATTGCAATTCAATCAGTTTCACGAAATTATAGTGACCGCTGTCTTTGAATGTTATTGGCGGAATTGACCGACTTTTATTGCAAAAAAAAACTAAAACGCAGTATTTCCTGGATTGCAGCCAGGTCAGAAATCTGTTGCGATTTAATTTTGCTCTTTTTATGCTTTCATACATGTCTCGTTTAAAAAGTTGTAGGTATTTGAAAAGTTTATATTTTTATTGTACATACTGTTTTTTCTTTTAACCCTAGGGCATTAATATTAAATTACAGTTCTGTGATCACCAACCATAAACTTTATGAAATTTTAAACAAAAAAAAAATACAACTTTTTCGAAGCAAACTAGTGTTAATTGATTCTGGGTACCAGATCCAGGGAAAAAACATTAGTGCAACTAGGACTTTTACTATGGGAATGGGACCAGAACCTAAACACTTCTTGGTTTGAGTGGATGGAAAATGCGTCCAGCAATAATAATGTAATTTTTTTAACTTGCAGCATGCAGCAACAATTAAGGGGAGGGGGCGTGCCCTCTGCCCGTCCTGGCTACGCCCATGAGAACAGAAAAAAAAATGAGAGCCAACAAGACACAACAAATATAAAAACTATAATAAGGTCGAAATCTCATTCCTAGGTCTTAAAATAACTAACAGCATACAAAAGGGAACAGTTTTAACAATACTTTTCCTTCACACATGTGTAACCTATTCCTTCCACAAACAATAATTGTATCAAAATTATAAATAACATGTAATATAATAGAATATGTAGGATGCAAGGTTAATCTTCTTAACTGCGGACATAATGTAAATTGAGTCCAGGAAGTCATTTTCCAAATTACAAATATTTGCGGATATTTTTTTTTTAATTTCATCTGAAAACTGCCGTGTACATAAAAAGTAATGTTCTACATTGTTAATTGTTTCGCTATTTAAAATACACAAGTCCACATATAAGATTTACTCTTAGTATACCGGGTGTCCCATTAACGTAATCGACCGGCTATATCTCGGAAACTATTTGTCCTATTTCGGGAAAAAGATTTGATGACTGAAATAGCCACTAAAAATTCAGTAAGATTATTTTTTAGCTTCTAACTTTTGCCGCTACAGGGACTTTTCTAAAATAATACTAAAAAACTACATTATTTTTGAAAAATTAAATGGAAAGATAGGACAACTTAATGTTTTCAAAATATTTTGTTCATTCTTCAAAATTTTTGTTGGAAGCATTTTATTTTGTCTTAAAAAATTAAGGGCGGGGGAAGGAAATTATTACTTATGACAAAAAATACGATAACTTTGGATTACCTAAACCGATTTCAATGAAGTTGGGTTTGTTACTTAATGAGACACCCGTTATACAAATTCCAATTTGCGATCGGTGTCATAATCACACTTGTAGCTCTTAAAATAAGTCCATTTTTGACTGTTTTGCACGATGTATGAAGGGTGGTAATTCACATCTACAAATGTTCTTTGTGCATCAATTGAGGTCTCTTCAAAGACTCCTTATGCTTGGTTGTTATTAAAACATACCAGTACAGTTGCTTTTAAAAAGGCTGTCTATGCGTTAACACATGATATTTAATACCGGACCTGTACTTAGTTTCAAAATTGCAGTTGTTACACCTGTACATTTGAACCAGTGAAGAATCTTTATGTTTCAGTTGGTGCTTTCTCAAATAACTCTTGTTATTAGTTTTGTAACTGCAGTCATTACACCTGTACATTTGAACTTCTGAAGGATCTTTATGTGTCAATCGGTGTCGATTGATATTTTTCTTGTATTTAGTTTCATAACTGCAGTCGTTACATCTGTACATTTGAACCTCTGAAGGATCTTTATGTGTCAGTTGATGTGGTCTGATATTCCTCTTGTATTCAGTTTTGTAATTGCAGTCGTTACACTTGTATGTTTGAATTTGCGAAGGACCATTATGTCTCAGTTAGTGCTGTCTAATAATATGCTTGTATTTAGTTTCAAAATTGCAGCTGCTACAATTGTACATTTGAATTTGCGAAGGATGTTTATGTTGCAGTTGGTGCCAATTGATAATGCTTCTGTATTTACTTTCATAACTGCAGTTATTACACCTGTACATTTGAACCTCTGAAGGATCTTTATGTGTCAATTGGTGTAGTATAATATCCTTCTTGTATTTAGTTTCGTAAGTGCAGTCATTACATCTGTACATTTGAATCTCAGAAGGATCTTTATGTATCAATCCATGTCGATTGATATTTCTCTTGTACTTAGTTTTGTAACTGCAGTTATTACAGCTGTACATTTGAACCTCTGAGGGATCTTTATGTGTCAGTTGGTGCTGTTTGATGACATTCTTGTATTTAGTTTCGAAATGGCAGCCGTTATACTTATATGTTTGAATTTGAGAAAAATCTTTATGTTTCACTTGGTGCTGATTGTTAGCTCTTCTATATTTTGTTTCGTGATTGTAGTTGTTACACCTGTTCATTTGAACCTGTGAAGGCTCTTTATGTTCTAGTTGGTGTTCGATATTCTTCTTGTATTTAGTTTTGTAACTACAGTCATTACACCTGTATATCTGAACCTCTGAAGGATCTTTATGTGTCAATCGGTGTCGATTGATATTTTTCTTGTATTTAGTTTCGTAACTGCAGTCGCTACATCTGCACATTTGAACCTCTGAAGGATCTTTATGCGTCAGTTGGTGTGGTGTGATATTCTTCTTGTATTTAGTTTCATAACTGCAGGTGTTACATTTGTATGTTTGAATTTGTGAAGAACCTTTATGTTTCAGTTGGTACTGTCTGATAATAATAACATTCTTGTATTTATTTCTAAAGTTGCAGCTACTACATCTGTACATTTGAATTTGCAAAGGATCTTTATGTTTCAGTTGGCGCCCCTTGATATTGTCTTTGCATTTAGCTTTGTAATCGCAGTCATTGCATCTGTACATTTTGATCTGTGAGGGATCTCTTTGGCGCAACAGATACCTATGACGTAATTTCTTATTTTCAGTTTCATACTGACACACATTTGTTTGCTTCAAAATCATTCTCATGTTTCACACACTGTGCTATAAAACGGCTCTCTCTTCCAGTTTAATAAACAGATTCGTCACATTTGTTCAAAACTTTATATTCGTTTTTGGTTTTCGTATTAAATTTGCTTTCAGATTCATTCTCATGTTTATATCCTTCTTTCTCCACATCTTTACAGTCACTTCTCTCGAATGGTTCATTATCGGAGGTCTGAAGTGGCGTGTCACTGAAAAAATTACATATATAAATAATTTCATTTAAATCAGACAAAGTGTTTTCGAGTTACATAGAGTAAAACAAGAACTTTTTGCCCATTAGCGATAAAACAAAGTTATTTGGTATAAGGGTAAGTTGCGTTAAGATATCATATTTTAAAGGATTTGTGTGAGTTCTTATGTAGAACTGAAATTGTCATAAAATTGCACCAATGAAAATTTCTGTTATTTCTCTTGAAAAATATCGCTATTGCAACTGCTTAATCATTTTCATTTGAATTTAAAGTTTCTAAGTCGGCATTACAAGTAACGCATTTGTTAATTATTTCAGTGTGTACAGCGAGCAATGTCAGAGCTCCCAGGGAAATCCAAACAGTCATCTAATACCAGAGCGATTCGCTTTTTCCACGACTAGTGTGCACTTTTTAAAAAAATTTGTTAACCAAACTTTTAATGATTGTTCAATATCTTTCCAACATTGTTTATAACCAATACAGACCTGTAATTTATTACAATTTGTGAGATCGCTTTCATTGGAATGTCTCCTTTTTTATAACACGCTAATATTATGCATGCAATACCACGACTAGGCACTGTGCCATTTTTTAAGTTAATGCCAAAATAGTCTTCCCTTACCTTTTTTCCTCATCTTCAGATTTTATGTCAACGCATTCAGTTTTGATTGTCATTTCCATCTCGTTGATATTGAATTCACTGTTCCGGCTTTCACTCTTAACGAATAAATCAGATGGTGACTTATTTATCCGCCTTTCTGTACCTTTAATTTTTTTCTCTACTTCCAAGCATTCTCCTAAAAAGCTGTTGTGGGTACACAGAGAATCAAAGCATGATTTACATATAACGGGATCTTTGATAATATTTATATTCTGCAAAGTAATTTCCTTGAATTGTGATAAATGAAAGTATTTAATATGGTTCATACCATTTCTGCAGTCAATTTCTCAATGGCTTCGAGTTCCTCTTCACGTATGCAGATAAACTCACTTTTTACTAAATGCATACACAATCGACATATTTTCCGACTATCTGAAATATCCACTGACTCGCTTCCCTTTTCTTTCGTGTACACTTCTTTCATATCGAGCTGCAACATTTTTTCATAATCCACATATGGGATAATTGCATTATCAGTATTCAGAGATGTTGACTTGAATTCTAATGCTGCATTTAATTTTTCTCTGCAAACTTTACATATGACATCTTTGCTCTCGTCATCAAATCTCTAAAATATATGCAACTTTAACCAAAGAGAAAATAATTGTGGCAGAAAATAACAAC